TATATATATATATATATATATATATATATATATATAGAGAGATAGAGAGAGAGAGAGAGAGAGAGAGAGAGTCAAATATCTTTCTAAAGATAACCGACTTTTCTGCTCAGCTTATTCTGAAGCGTGTGTTGTGTCACTAGGCTTAACTGAGAGGGTTTCTAAATAGTGTTTCACGGATAATATTCCCATTCCATGAACAGTACGTTTAAAACATAATTATCACGCTCGCAAGACACCAATAATTAAACCATACAAAGAAAAAACGTATTGATTAATAGTTATTTGGAGTGATCGTTTCATTTCGTTGCGCAACACTTTATGACGTTCTAAGAACATCGTTAGCGGACCTAACAGCTCCATCCGGACTGTCTATTTAGAATTTATGACGTTCTGTAAATTTTTTTTTTGTTTACAGAGTAGCCACCTTCAGACATCATACCAGGAACATGTATCTGTTATAATAGTTTTAAAACGTGGAGCCAAAGCATGTGAACTTGAAAATTTACATTATATGGTGTGTGTTTGTTGTTTTGATTTTCAGTGCAGTCTTTTTTTCTAGTATATGTGTGTGTATTGTTGTTGTTCTTTTTAACGTATCTGCAACATCATTATCGGTGTTTCGTATGTTTTGTTTTCTAGTATATATGGGTGTGTATTGTTGTTGTTCTTTTTAACGTATCTGCAACATCATTATCGGTGTTTCGTATGTTTTTAACATTTCACGCAACTTAAACTATAATAAGCACATATATATTACTTAACAGATGAATGGTACAAACATCAATTATGACTGTATGATAGAAAGTTCAACTGGAATAGTGAAATAAAATAATGTGGGTATACTGATAATTTAACACCTATTATAATGAACTGAAAGTGTTTTTAAGTTGAATTAGTCCGTAATAATAAGATCTTTATTAGAAGTTTAATGATAAAGGTAATTAGAGCAGAGTTTGAAGGTCAAGTATGAAAGTTTTACATCGTTTGTTTGTTTGTTTTTAATTATGCACAAAGCTACACAAGGGCTATCTGTGCTCTGCCCACCACGGGTATCGAAACCCGGTTTCTAGCGTTGTAAGTCCGCAGACATACCGCTGTGCCACTGGGGGGCGTTTTACATCGTAACAAAATCAAATCAAATATTTCATTAAATGGGGGGATATTTTCTCTCGGTTTGATACGTTTTTCGCTGTACGTCTTATCAGAGGTCTTGTATAGAAGCGGTGTTTGTTTTAATACAAGTGTAAAAAGATGGATAAGTGCGAGCCGTCCTAAGTTATACTACATTCATATATTGCCCATTAATGTAGTAACGCTCTATAGCCCCCCTTCTTTATTTTTTACATGGTGAGGATGTTTATAGCAGTAACGTGAGTTCCCCTTATCAAAATCTAACATCTTCACTCTCTTTTTGTATGAAAAAAAAGTATTCCATCTATTACGCGGAAAAGCCAACATTCATACCCTTGATTAAAGGCAGCTGTAAATTAGAGTCCTGTATCAGACGACCAGTTTATTAACACGCTAGATGTTTAAAAGATTCGGGGCGCGGGAATTTTCGACATTTCGGTACAATATCAATCATTCTGATTTTTCAGGACACCAACTGAAGACTCGGGGCACTGTCAAGTAGATTCGGGGCAAAGGCCAGCGACATCTCTACTAACAGGGGCTATTTCTTCTCTTGAAACAGTGATGGAGATGAAGGTTTCGGTTCGATCATATGTATTGAAACTAATATTGTGTCTTGTCCAAAACAACAAGTTAAAGCCTTGGGGTATTTTACCCCACGAAATGAGTCAAGAGTCAAATTTAAGTTTCCCACAACCAAGTTTAAATTGCATAGAACTCAAAAGAAAACCTCGATGCCATGAAAAAACACACATTATATTTAGGGAAAAAAATATATACACCTGGTGGTTATTTTTACAAACGCAGATTTCAAGCGTTTGTTCTTTAATATCACATAAATTATTCTTCTATGACTGTTAGTGTGAATTCTTATTATTATGATATTGAATTTTGTTTGTTTGTTTGAAGTTAAGCACAAAGCAACACAATGGGCTATCTGTGCTCTGCCCACCACGGGTATCGAAACCCGGATTCTAGCGCTGTAAGTCCGCAGACATACCGCTGTGCCACTGGGGGGCGATGATATTGAATATATAACGAGTTAGATCAGAACAGTTAGTGTATTTTATTCAATGTATATATATATATATATCTGTAA